CAAGAAATGAAACAGTGCAAAAAATACACAGATTAGGAAGGAAAAAAGGATATATAAGGAAAAATGGGTATAGCTTATAAAAATACAGCTATAAAAAAGGCTTTTTTCAAGGGGAACTATAAAAAAAGAAAATACTAAGTACATTCAGTATTTATAGTGTACATCTTTGGTAAGTGTAATGTTTATTTAAACAAAACATTCTATATAATAGCAACAGTCTGCAGTATCTCACAAAGCAGACCCACTGGTGAAGCACATTAGAGCCAACAGCTCCTCCAGTACTTAGAACCGTGACAGTGCTCAAGAAAGACAGACCAGAAATGGGGCGTATTTGTTGTTTCTCCTGCACTGCTATTAAGATCAAAATCTTCACCAAAAGCCAACGAGGAGCTGAGACAGTAGTGACTTACTGCGAGCTGCAGGCTTTGCACGACACCAGTTACAAGCTGCCTAAACTGGCCCAACCTGCATTATGTTTGGGTTATGTGCACGACTGTGTATGTACATCTGTCCATACACTGATCTCACTGCCATACATCACACGAGCGAGCAGGAGTCAAATGTGTTCCCTATTACAGCAATGAGGGTGGTCTGCTCCTCAGGCAGTGCTGTGGCAGGGAGTTTTGTAAAGCAATACAGCGTTTAATGCTGCTTGGAGAGCCCTCTGAAGAGGACACAGCCACGCTTCATTCTTCCATCAAAGTGTATTAACATCTCTTTCAGCTAGCACAGTGGAAAAGTGGTCCCGTCTTTACAGGAAATAATATTATGACAACAGAAACACCAAGCTTTGATAACTAATTTCTTTCTGTTCTACATCTTTAACTTTACTTTTTAAGTTCTGTTACCGTTTGAAACAGGCTATACACCACCTACTAGAAAGTTAAAAATCAGACTTCATCATAAGATACTTTTAGCTGACATTTTTTTTCCTGTGTTATTTAAATGACAGGGATGTTTTCTGGGTGAGATGAATATTAACTCTTGAATGGAAATCACAAAAATTCACTCTACAAAGTAGTCTTGGGAAGCAGCTGAAAAAATTCAATTGAACAGTACTAAGCTGGTTGTAACAGTACTCGGGCATCTTTCAGCATTGTGCCCTCCCCTCTGGGGGTACTGGGGTTTATTGGTGCCTTTTTTATTCTTGTTTTCACTTTTTTGCTTGTTTGTTTGGGGCTTTTTTCCACAATGATGTCCCTAATATATATATATATACACACAGAGAGAGAGAGAGAGAGAGAGAGAGAGAGAGAGAGTTATTTCAGTAGGCATAAATAGCTCTCTGACTATATGGAGCTCATAGATGATTTCTGGTGCCCAATAACACAACACCACCAAGGGCACAGGTTCCCCTTAATGCTGTTGGTGAATCTGCATCTCCTTCCTCCACCCAACCACTCATTCTCCATTTAATTTGTAGGTACTTCTCTTCTATCCTTCTGTCATAATTAGCCAAAATGGACAAATAAGTTAAATCATTTGTGGGAGTCTGCAAAAACATGTGCAGAAGCAGGAGGCTTTCACAGAAATGCCACACTAATGAAGTTACACATGCAGGAAATAACTAATGTTATTTTGTTTTCACTTAATTAGATTATTTTAAAGGGTAAGAACTACCGAGAGATTCTTCCATGAACTACAGAAATCCCCTCTCATTTTTTTTTTAGGACAACGTGTAAAAATCAGCCTTTGTGTTATAAGGTTTCTTAAAAATGCAAAATTCTGAATTAGGAAATCTGGTTTTTTTTCAAGTTCATTTGTGGGGATTGAAATAATGTTGTGAAAGATCCAAACCTGTGTTTTCTGCCACAGAAAGAAAATCACAGCTGCGGATGTTCTCATATTGTATTTCACCAGAAAATGTCTACATTTTAGTAGGGCTGAAGTAATGAGCTACTTAATGACATATAGCATGTTTAAGTCATTTTGGTTTCTTGCCCCAAAACTCTCTTCCATCCCACTGCCACCCCACAAGCAAATTTATTCCACAAGTGAAAATTTATACTTCCAAAGATAAACTTTCATCTCTTATAAACTTTCATCTCTTTTGCGGTAAACCTTATGCAATGTATCAAGAATTTTTAATAAATGTACATCTCTTCATTTTCTAGTTTCTGCATATTATAAGAAAAATATTCCCTCTATTAAATACAGATTTGGTTGGTGTTTTCTTTTTCTTTTAGAAAAAGAAAGGAAGGAATAGCTTTCCACTGACAAAACTTTCAGAAACTTGAAGCAAAAGGAAACATAAAATCCTTTATATTGGCTTGAGCTCTTCTAGCTATGATTGGCAAACATGAGGCTGATGACATTAGATTTTTCATTTAAGTTTAAAATAATGCACCACAGTACTCCTGCTCAGGGCAGAAGCAAACCACACCGTTAGGACAACCACCTAATTGAGTTCCCACGCTAGCTCTGCACTAAGTTTTTGGTAGATTTTATGGAACAACACTTCACCAATAAAAACCAGATGGGCTGTGGACTGGTAAAGCAAAGGGGGTCTGATGTGGCATGGCTCTTCCCAAGTAGCTCCCCAAGAAATATTAGAAATCATGTGAAATCATAGCACAGCAGAACTCCACAGAGCTCTGCCACTGAACTCAACATGGCCAGAATCTCATCCTCGAAAGCCGAGTCCTCCATATGCTCACTCACATCACAGCAAATTCATAAGCAGGTTACTGAAATCAAATTTCATTTCAACTTAATTATTCAAACTGATGACATTTTTGGTTACAAAATGAAATCATCATTTCTGGACCAATGTAGTTGCTATTAAAGTTCTTGCTTCATCAAGTTTATATGCGTTTTCAGCACTTGTTGCCACAGGATTCTTTGTCGTTGCTGATGGCAAATCCCAATAACCACCAACATTTAGGGACTCAGAAAAAGTAAACTCTGGTCAGATCCATTTGGGGCATGTTTTTCCCCAAAGGCATACACAATCCCTGCTTCTTTATGGACTGGTTCCCAAAGGAAAGGACCACACTAGTCAAAATGAAGGAGAAATTAAGATACACCTCAGATACCTGGATCCAAACCTTTTGCATCACGTTTATGACAGTGACAGGCAGCGGTTTCTGCGCCCATCGTTGGGAAATGGTGCTGCTTGTGATTTGCTGCTGGTACATTTCTGCCACAGCAGACCATTTCCAACTGCAGGGATCACTTCTATAATCCAGTTTCTTCACGGTCAGACTGCCTCATATAAATGACATAATCCCTAGCTTGAGCATCCAGTCACATGAGCACATTCCTTCCCCATGCTCACATTTTCAAAAACCTGTTCTTCCTACATAAATAGCTATAAACTCCTTTGATTTGTGCTCAAAGATTTAAGTGATGAGGAAAAGGGCTGCTAGTGACCTGCTTTAACACTAAAGCAAGGGAAGGAGGCTGCTCATGTCTCCCCATTTCTAAAAATTGTCATCAAAACCCTAAGTTTTAAAAACACAAAGGAGCAAGGTCATTTATACCAATGAGCAAGGTTGTTTACACCAATGAGATCAATAGATAAAAAGGTTCTGGAGATCAAAATTACTCTGAATCATAATCTCTCTTAAAAATAAATATTGAATATGTTTGCAATAGAAGCCTGAAGTCTACTGCCTCAGATATGTAACAAGACCAAAACTGGCCTAACACAGTAAACTGAATGGGTTTGGTTTTGCCTACCAAGTCCCTCAAGCTGGCCAGAAAATAACTAGAAACAAGAGCAGGTCAATAGGACTGTACTTCCTCAGTTCAGTGTAAATTAAGCACAGCAGTCTCATCATCAAATATTCTTCACATTCTCTTCCCCCTAACTATCAAACACACTGCCTGAACAGAAGCATGAAAACAAAACATCCAATTTTTCAAGCACCATTCAAAATAAGCTCTCTCTGGCTATGTTCTTAAGCCTTAATTGGCATTTCAAATTGGCAATGGCATGCAAAACACTCTAGTACAACAAACGATTCCCACTCTGCTAATCCATTGGTGACCTACATAAGATGTGACTATAAAGAACCTTTTAACAGCAAGCTCTACTGGTCTATTAAAATCTAATTCAGTAAGCAAAAGTTGGTCATTTTTAGACTCTCTCTTAATTCCACACTAACATTTTGTTTCCTCTCTACATGCATAGCAAAGGCATCACGCTGTAACACCAGTGTCAGATGCTTGGCTGTGTGAGAGGCCTTCACCTACCTCCTCTACAGGAAAACATTTACACCACAGCACATGGAACAGACTTGGCTGTCCTCAAGGTATTCACTGAGGAATCCTCCACTAGAAGTCACCGTATCAGAGCAAGCTGCACAAGTCCAGATTCTTCTTCACCTAAAACTAGCAGCTCCCTTTACTGTATTCTGTATGCAAAACACATTTGATTCCTTTAAAATTGGCAAAAATTGCATCCTCAATATAAGTAATACCAGTTCATTACTGAATAATAGCTTTAATAACCAAAGGACTCCTGCACACTGGAGCAGACTGAAGTACATTAACATCATGTGCATTCCTCTTATGAATCCACGGGCTTTGTGATACTTAAATCTCTCCTTGAGTAGAGACTGCAAATTTCTTCCATCTCAATGTCAGCAAGTCTTTTGAAATAAGACACATAAATGGGAAGCAAAACCCAAAGACTCGAGACCACGCTGTTTTGAACAACTGAACAACATTTAGATCTGTATAATTTGTTTTATTATTTGTTCTGTTCTCTGAGAAAGTAATATTTCTCTGATATTAACTACACTTGGCATGCTCACAGCTGGTAGTTGCAAACAAATCTGAATTCAGATTTCAAGATTGAGGAATTTCTGGTGAACACCCACAACAAACTAAATCAAACCAGCCCATTAGGATTTCTTCATTAAAAAAAAGCTAACAGAACATCTGTCTGGCAACAACACCACACACCCCATTCTTCCAAAACAGCTTAGCAAGTGGCAGAGAGTTTCTGCCTTATCCACACCGTATAAATTCATAAGTCTCAGTACTCTACTCACAGCGAATTCCGTAAATCATGAGAGGATCAAGCTGCTTCTTCCCATGCTTCCCCTGGCCTGAGAGGTTGGAGATGGCCTGGATTTCCCGATGGAAGAGATAATCCAGCAAGGTCAGGGCCATCTTCTCGGCCGTGCGGCAGTTGGTGCTGATGTGCAGCATGTCAGCAGGGGTGATGGGGCAGCGCACCCGCATCTCCGGATTATTTTCGTCGCCGAGCCACGTCCCGTTGGGGTAATCCTCTGAAAACAGAGATTGTGGAAGCTCTAATTGCAGCACAGAATGAAACAGTCAGGTTCAAGTTGCAGTCAACGTTTCTGAAGTTATCCTGAGCTCTTCCAGATTTCTTCCCCGTCTCCATAATCTTTAAAATTTAGCATGACTAATAGGCTCTCAAGATTTGCTACAGATAAAAAGTTATTCTCAAATCCACACCAATGGTGACCCAAAGTTATTGCCATTATGTTCTGGCCTACACAAGGAACGGGTGCAATTAGTCCAGATGTCTAACTCAATCTCAGATATCTTTTTAAAGTGTCTCATACTGGAGGCCAACAGCTGAAAGAACACACTATATTCACAGTGTTCTCATTCATCAAGTTAGTCATCCCCTAAAAATGAAGATTACTGCAACCCCATAATTCTTAAAGTACAGTTAATTTCAAGAAGCTTTGAACCACATTTTTTCCCAAAAGCATCAGTTAAAATGAGTCTAAGCAAGATTATAAATCTGAGAAAATGCAATAAATTGTGAGCAGCAATTTAGTCATTTAGAGTATTTCAAGCAGTGGCAACCACTCAAAATGTAGCCAGAAATCAAAATCAAAATCTTGGTCTTTCTTCAAATTTACTGGTCAGTCATCTACATTGCTTCCTAAACACACAGTTTACCAAGGAACAGGCCCAGCATAAAGGTAATTAATCTATCCTTAATCATAATCACCTGCCAACTGCATCTCCCCTTCCACTACAAGATCACTAGCAGCAGAACTCTACCTAACTTTTCTTGTGTATATACACACACAACTTAGGTCTTTAGACTTCTGTCCCAGGCTCTCAGTTTGGTGGGAAGAAAACTATTCATTTAAAGGGGAATATTAGGCCCTTCCTGGAAATTACCCTTTGCAGACGATGCCAAAAGTTAGTGGATTGAAGAGAAGCTAGAAACTCAAACAGAGCTTGTAAGGTGACCAATTGCTGCTGAAGTGGAGGAAGCAGCACAGGATTTAGGATGAGGCTCTCATTCTAGATAAACCCAAAACTTCCAGTACACACCTTGACAACACAGACAGGAACTGGATAGAAAGATGTCCCAGTACTATTTCAGTGCTCACTGACACAGACCATTTGAAGTTGATATCTATGTTTGCTCAACTTTGTAGACTCAAAGTAAGCTCTGGAGTCACTCAGCCCTCTCACTCCATCTATTTATAGTGTTTCATCATTTCACACACCTTCAGAAAGGTAAAAATGTCAACAAGCCATTCAATTACATGATTTAGCTTTCATTAAATGTTGAGTTCCACAGTGTACACAAACTCACAAATTCCTGTTTCCATAACCCTTCTAGTCACAGAACAGGGTGAGGGAATTCACACAGAGTGTACCCTTTGCACGTGGGGCAGGACCTCTGAGCAAGCAGCATCTCTATTTCCAAGCCCTGGCCTAGGTTAAGCAGCTTGCATTTTACTAGACTACAAGCCAAAAGTATGCAATAAAAATCTAACATAAAAGCAACTCAAACCCTAAAAAACACTTTTTCAACATGACCTTTGGGTTGAGTCGTACCACATGTCAGAGGCAAGTTTATTGCAATGAATAATGGCAATATGAAGCAAATGTTAAATTATGCAATACTGATATATCATTATAAACATCAGATCATCAGCTACAATAATTAAGGAAAAATATTTGTTGCTGATGTATATAGCACCTACTCCCTCGAGCTTTTTTCTCTTGAAATTAGAACTTAATGCTCTGAATATATATTTACACACTTGAAAATTTTTCCTATATATATATATATATTTAATCTGAACCTTACTTTTTATCCTGATCTATGTACTAGGGCACACGAGCTGCTCCCAGTACCAGCTACCTTTTAAAAAATAAGTTGGTTCAAATTAATTACAACTTGTTTTGAATGCCACTGGGTCTGGCCTCTGCACAAGTCTGGTTAACATTATCAGGGAAAATAACAGTTCCTTCCTGAAGATAAATTGACTGTTTTATAAAATTTTGGGCAGAGCCGGAAAAGCAACAACATCTCTGGATAAATGTGCAAGTGTTTCAAAGAAATTCCAGGAAGCCTCAGTAAATGATTCAACGTCCTATCAATATCTTACTGCTGTACCAGCTCACAGAATTACTGCTAGTTACTACAGAACACCTTTCACCTGCAGTCGTGTTTAACAAATGCTATCAACCTACATGAATCAAAGATTTTTTTCAATTTGCAAAATAATCTCCTTTTTTCTTTTTTTTTAACTGGCACAGAGTCCAGAACATACTGTTTTTACCACATGCAACTGTTCCTTTATTGCGTTAGCCTGGAAAAAAGACACTATCTTGTTATTCTGACCTAAGAACACAAGCCTCACATTAAATTATGTCTTACATTTCCCTCCTGCTTTAAAAGCTTCAACAGAAAGAGAATTTGCTTTATAATCATTATGCATTAAGTGGAACTTGCATGACTGAAGTTAACCATGTCTCTACTGTCTCACTGCAGCTACTTCAGGGCACAAAAGCTAAACTATTCCTTATCACATCTCAAAATTCCTACTGGCCTGTCAACACATCTGGCATTTTGCATAGAGCAAATACAATGAGACTGGCACACACAAAAAATACTGGTGAGAAGAGGAAGCATAGTGGCAGTTACGAGGGGAGCAGGACTGCTCTGAACAAGTGTTGTGGTACAGGAGAGGACAGGCTCTATAAAGAAGGAGAAAAAAAAAAAAGAGTTTGATGGAAGTTCTCTCTGAACAATTAAGTACATCAATACTATTGATTAAAGCTCCATGATTTGAGGCTCCCAGCACTCAAACATCCTTTTATGCTTGCTGAAATGGTTCTTTACGTGTATTATCAGGCATTATATGTAGTATCTAGACAGCATCTAGATGAGTCAGGTTATTTAGTGCATACATTGCAACAGCCAGATACCGAGTCAGGACTCCACTAGGCACCATACAATCATACACAGCTTCTTTTCCTTAAAGGTCACAAATAATGTGACAGGTTGGGGAGGGAGCAATACAGTTGAAGAACGCACTTTGCTTCAAGATTATGAGGCATAAGGCACACGTTCACCCCTAACTCAGTTAATCACACACCTTTCTTGTTTTGCCCAGAAGTATTTTCCTTTTGCTAATTTTCCTGATGGCCTTGCTGCATTTTGAGTGCTATGTGCAAAGGCACTTCCCTGTGTTTCTTTAAGCCAAATATTCCATCGTCAGAGAAGTGGCTCTTGATCATTCCTACTTACAGTGTTAAAAGTCCTGACATTTTTATCTGATTTCCTCTCTGTACTCAGAAGCTCATTTCAATGACAGACAGACTAATTTCTAACTCCTCTTCAATGTTTTCTCAGAGATCAGAAAGTTTGCCTTTATCTCCATTCTACTGAGTCCGGAGCTAGTTTGCTTTTCAATGCTGTTTTCCAATCTTTTTTACTGTATTAAGTCCATTTCTTTTATCTCCCCCCACAGCTGACCAGCCCTCTGTTTCGGCAGGGACGTGCGAGGAGACGAGAGGCGGCTGGGGCTGCTACGCAAACAAGGATCTCTATGGCAACAGGGCGAGCGAGCTCTAAGGTCAGGATCAAGAAAACCTATGTCAAGAGAACAAAAACCAGACAAAAGCTGCTGTGGTTTTCGGACTCACTCTCGACGTGTGTATGTGTTCTCCTGCCCGGGGAGATGACAGACACTGAGCTGTTCCTCACGTCGCTTGTTTGACACGTGAACGTTAGCAGGAAGCCCAGAAGCAAAGCCAGGCTCTGCTCCCACTAGGTGCTGTCAGTCACTGCCTTAAAACCAGGAAAAACAAAAGGAAACACCTGCCCACATAAATGAACACGTCCCATTATTCCAAGTAGCTGAGTTTATTTTACTAACAAGGCTAGGTGCAAACCTGGCACTTGCAGCAGACAGAAATGACTGGTAGCTGCAGCACAAAGGCAGAAAGATTACTTAAAAACAAAGTCAAAACACACCCCTCAAAAACCCCAAACCCACAAATACTACACTATAAAAATAAACCTCCATTTCTAGATAAATTAAGTAATATTTTGGCTGATGTGCAGAAGGTTCAACGTGTAAACGTCTGTCTTTGCCCCTGCAAGAGTTCACAGGGGTGGTGATTAACCAACAGAGACTACAGAGCACTGACTTCAATAACAATCATTCTGTATAAGGAATCCACCAGGCCATAAGTTAACCTACAAACCTGGCAACACGATTTAAATTTGTGCTAAAAGAAAGGTTAAAGAACTACCTCTAAAGCTATGTTCAGCCAAACCTCCTCCCATCACAAAAACAACCCACCCCAACCAGTTAAGATGCTGGGAGTTCTGGCAAAAAGCAGCACACACACACACACGTACACAAACTTCAGACACCCTGGATGCAGAGCTAAGAGTTTTTTCTGCTTATTCCCATGAAGGAAATTTCTTAATTTCCATGTAAATATAAAAGAAAGATACCCAGAAGAATCTCATGCTCCAGGTATAATCTTTGGGCAGTACAAAGGATTTGGCTAACAGAGACACCCTTCCAGTTCACTTCTCAGTCCCTATGGTTAGAGGACCAGGACACAATACAAGATATTCTGAAGAAATATTTGAAATCTCTCCTGCACTTGTGGTTTCTTTGTTTGTCTGATAGATAACACACAGCACAAAAGAACACACATGGGCATGCAGTGCCAAAGCATTTGTGTCTCAGCAAATACTGCAGTGTGTACAGAAGTCTCAGTGTATCATCAGTGAGATTATTTTGTTAAAAATAAGGCCTCCGTTTTAGTACATGGTTAAATCCATGAGAGAAGGAAAAGATTCACTCACTTCTTTATGAAAAGCCTGGGAATTATAAAACAGAAGAAGAAAATGAGGACTACACAATCATCTGTAGTTTAAACCTATCAGCTACAAAAAGAAAATCCAGATAAAATTGAGAAAATTAAAGTCATGGACTTAGAGGGTTTTTTAAAACCTTATGATGTCTGTTTCACGTCAGAA